GGAGCACAAGGGCAGGCACTGACCTCCAACAAAAAGAAGAAGTAATTTTATCGGAATACAGGAGTTTTTTCTTTTCGAAATCCGAATAGAAAGGGTACACGTTGTATACAACGTGTACTTTTTCTATTTGAGGAACTCTGCTATTCGAGAAGTCCTGGGTTCTGTAACTTGAGTCGGCCACAGCCTTGGAAACAGGAGCAAACTTTGTGTCATAAAGATGTTTGAATGGGACGCTGGACCCGTTTTCCAGCAGGTGATACTCCCCACCAATAGATGGAGCACCCCGACAGCCTAGCCCTCCACCACGGCGGTTCTCTCACCACTGCTGGGATGGAAGGCTTATGCAGGGGCTATTCTTCTTATAAAAAAAATAAAAAAAGTGGACCCGCACCGTTTCAATTTCGAAAAAGGACTGCGGCCTCCTCGGCCTCCTACGCACAGCTACCGGTCCTACACGGTCCTGGACCAAAACCCGTGCGGTCCCAGGGGCAGCTACGGGTCCTGCAGTTTCAAATAAGAAGCCACCACCCCCAAAACTGCCATGCCTTGTTTTTCCAGCCTTCCAATGCCTTGTTTTTCCAGCCTTCCAATGCCTTGTTTTTCCAGCCTTCCAATGACCATATAAGGAACGACGACGAAAAATGTTATCAGGGGCATAAAACGCACCCCTGACGGGCTGCGAACAGTAAACAAGCTATCCTTTCCTTCCTGTCCCGTGCAGCCTAAATGGGGGTCCGTTGTACTCAGGGGAAGAGGGTAGAAGAGGGTAGGCCTTCTTCTCAGCGTCCTTACCCATTCTGGCCACGACAGTTCGAACCCTCCTAGTCACCCTTCGGCCTGTTTGATCCCTTGGCGCGGAAGGGTTATCTGGTTCCGCTGGTGCTCTTGCTCTTGCCCGAACGTCCTCTCCCCAGGTGCTACCGTCTTCACCCGAACACAACGCACCCTCATTTTGGCTGTATCTGGACGGAAATATAGCTTGTATACATTGAATTTTAGGGTGCGTTATGTTCGGGGGACGACGGTAGTGGTGTCTGCTCGTACCAGCACCTCTAACAAAAAAAAAAAAAAAAAAAAAGGTGGCATGAAACGGGCATGCTGGTCCGGCAACACGAAGCGGATGCTGGTACCGAGGTGAAAGCGATGGACCGGTTCTCTCAAACCTGAAGGCAATGAACCTGGTCACTAAGTCTTCCAGGTAAAAGCGATGGACCTGGTCCACTCCAAGGTGGAGGGGATGGACCTGGTCCACTCCAACGTGAAGCCGATGGACTTGGTTCCCTCAAGGTCCTTCCTGGGGCAATAGACAGGAGCAGCACGACACGCGCGCGCGCGCGCACACACACACACACACAACCTGGTGGCTGCCCGAATGCACACGTGGCCGCCCCTCCCATTCATGATCGTCAGGACTGAACGGCTGCGGTACACGTGGCAGTATCTCTGACTGATTGAATTTGTATGGACGTCAACAACAATTTATCCACCTGGACAATGACCGCGAGCGGCGCTTGGGGGAGATTGCCGCGGTGACCTTCGCCCCTCTCTCTCTCTCTCTCTCTCTCTCTCTCTCTCTCTCTCTCTCTCTCTCTCTCTCTCTCTCTCTTTCTTTCTCTCTCTCTCCCCCCTCTCTCTCTCTCTCTCTCTCTCTCTCTCTCTCTCTCTCTCTCTCTCTCTCTCTCTCTCTCTCTCTCTCTCTCTCTCTTCCCCCCCGCTTCTGCTTCCTGCCTTCTTTTTCTTTTCTTTTCTTTTGGGCGCAATAACTCACTTAGAAACTCAACGATTTCCTTTTGCTGCATGGATGCTATTATTGTGGCATGAGACCTCGATTAGTACGCATCCTTGCCAGTCAGTCTCTTCCTCCCTTCTTCTCTTCTTCTTTTTTTTTTTTCCCATTTCTTTTTTGCCCTCCGAACTCCGTTCCCGCCTTTTTGTTCTCGCCTTTTTGTTCTCGCCTTTTTGTTTGGTTATCGATTAATAATAATATTCGGGCTAACATATGCAATATGCATCACCTCTGAATGGCAGTGAATGCTCGGATTAAACGGATTCCCCGCCACGTATCCAACCGCAAATACGACCAGATTCACCCAGCAATGACCAATTATCGCGACCATGTCCTAAATGGCTAGCCATTACCTTAGTTTCCCTTTTTGCTCCGCGTTTTCTCGAATTGGGAAAGCAAGTCGGACACCCATGGGAGCAGCTAATGAATGCATCTGACCGCAAATCTACCGTAGGTGCATTCATGCATGATGCCTACGCTCGTTAAGACAGCAGTCGTTCCTTTGAGGATGACCTACTCATATAAGTGCCCTTGACCGTTGACCAAGATCGCTAACTATACCGCTAACTACCGTTAACAAAGACCGTTAAGTATACCGTTAGCCACACCGACGAGTAAGGCCGTTAAGTAGACCACTGATTATATCGCTCAATACCGTCTTCCCCCGAACATAACGCACCCTTATTTTGGCTGTATCTGGCCGGAAATATAGCTTGTATGCATTCATTTTTAGGGTGCGTTATGTTCGGGGGAAGACGGTAGGCCGTTAACCTTAAATCGAGCTACCTTCTTCCTGCCGAACACAACGCACCCTCATATTCCCCGAACACAACGCACCCTCATAATGACTGTACCTGACCGGAAAGATAGCTTGTATACATTCATTCTTAGGGTGTGCTATGCTCGGGGAAGACGATAGCCGTTAGCAATTGGCCCCTGTTTTCTCTTTTCTTTTCTTTTGTTTTCTATTTTCTAATAATTCAAATTGACCTTTTTCCGGTTGGGGGTGGGGGGTGGGGGGGGAGAGGATTGGGAATTCTTCTAATAGTTTAAATTGCCCCCTGCTTGCCGTCAGCAGCAATCTGCGAGACATTAGTTCGCACTTGCTATACAGTCTTCCCCCTAATAGAACGCACGGTCGTTACCGTCGTATCTAGACTGAAAGTTGGGCCAAATACAGCTATAATGACCGCTCGTTCTGTTCGGGCCGGGAAAACGGCAGCAGTTATAGTTCCTAGTACATTTTTTTGGCTCTGGGCCTCGCTACATTACTCACCAATTATTCAAAATGAGAATGAACCTTCCGCTAGAAAATGGAAAGATACACCACCACACTTAATTGTCTTTTGTGCATGTGCTGAGTAGTGGAGCGACGCCCTAGGTTGGACCGTTCCTTCGACTCTCTCGTGATTGTTCTGATATCCTCTAAGGGCATCCTCACTGTGGAATTCTTTTGACTAAAATTCTGGACGTAACTGCGGTCAGGTACATCCAGATCTGGCCGTTATTGTGGTCAGATACATTTTAAAATACTGCTATCGTGTGAAATATGCTCTCAGCGATAATGCATCAGCAGACTCTTCAGCCATGGCTGACTGAAATCCCGCACAAATGCAACGCTGCCTTCTTTATTCGTTTACAACGCCCCCGCGTTCTTTTCGAGGGACTGACAAAGAAGATGACCGTCCCTGCGCGCGCTTTTTTCTACGACGTTTTTGAGTTACCAACGTTGATTGACCTCCCCCAAGCATTCAGAATTACTATATTATTCTTCTAAAAATAAATAATAATAATAATAATAATAATAATAATAATAATAATAATAATAATAATAATAATAATAATTTTGTTATCTGATGGCATCTGGATTCGAACTTGGGTCTGTATGACAACATTTTTTTTTTTTTTTTTTTTAATGTCAACAGATCAGAGGTATATCAACTGAGCAAGGCCAATTGCTGAGGCGCGCTTTCTCTCCAATGCACGTGAGGGCAAAATTACTGTATTACATCCTGTTTCAAAAACGCGGGAAAAATCATCTTAAGAAAGCGCGGGAAGAATCATCTGAAGAAAGCGCGGGAGGCAAAGCAATGGATTTGGTTTTTGTGGCGGGCTGTGTATATCCATCCTTGTTCAAAAACGAACTGATCCTTGATTCGTCCGCCCATTGGGTCTCGCTCAACTGCACAACATTCTAAATGCATCTGGAGGTGGTAATGGTCCCAATACATTCTAAATGTTCAATCCCATCCCAATGTAGCTGATCCAGAACGCAGTCCAGATAAATGTCTAAGGTTGGGAAGTGGAGCGACGCCTATTGTCCGTCTCCAGCGGGGTTCGATCCGTTGAACCTGGTCATGATCAAGATCGCCAAATCCTGCTTCGTCAGCAAATCGGGACACCATACAGAGAGAGAAGAGGGAGTTTGATTGGGAGCAACAGAGAGAGAGAGAGAGAGAGAGAGAGAGAGAGAGAGAGAGAGAGAGAGAGAGAGAGAGAGAGAGAGAGAGAGAGAGCAAAGCGAAGGATATAGAGAGCAAAATTCGATTTTTCATACTAGTATCTTTGCTAAGCGCCACGTGTCGTTGCCATTCCCTTACACGTGGCAACATTTTGTGTTTTTTTTTTTCCCCTCAAAATTGTTCCAATTTCATACACTCCCAACATTTCCCAGTATCCCCGCCGAGAACCCTTCTTTTTTTTTCCTTTTTTTTTTGTGTTCTTCTCCTCAATCAGAACCCTCAACGCCCGCGGAATCAGTCTAATCTTTTTTTTTTTCCTTTCTTTGGGTTACGTCTAATCAATTTCAAGGAGCCAATCCGATTCTACCACTGATTAATTAGATTCAAATCAGAACTATTAATAAACTAGACGGTAAATTAAACTTATTAATAAGGCATACTTCATATGACCGCCATTGACTGAGTGACTTGAGATTCGCTGCCGCCCCCCCCCTGCCACGTGGCGGTCACCAGCCACCCCCGCTCTCTCCTCTCCTCCACTGCGGGATTCCCCCCCCAACCCGCTCAACCCCGCCCAACCAAGTATACAAAATGAGAATGAACCTTCCGCTAGAAAATGTAAAGATACACCCACCGCCCCCCTACACGCGCACACAAGCTTGGCACTCCGATGTCACGAGGGGGTCGTCGACATACTATGACCCATCCGTTGACCATCGACGTTTGACTTTTTACTCTGTTGATCGAGCGGTCTGCTTGGTCAAGGACTCGGTCATAATTGCCTTGGTCAACGAGTAGTTTGACTTGGTCAACGACTTGGACATGGTTTGTCTTGGTCAACGATTGTCGTCCTCCATTGCCAACGAACAGGCGAAGAAGGAAGCTGAACAGAAGTCTCCTTCTTCTTCCTCTTTGACGCAATACAGACCAGCACGTCCTCTTCCACCCCCCTCACACCTCTTCCACCCACTTCACCACCTCCACACCCTCCTCCTCTCCTTTGTTCTCTTACGGTATATTCCACCACCTGGAGCTGAAGTCATCGCTGTCTAGGTGACAAGCGTGCTGGAAAGAGTATCGAAGTTTGACTGTATCGTGAGGTCAAAGTCAAAGTCAAAGTCAAAGTTGTAAGCTTTGACCTTTCTCGCTTTTCCCTCCAGCCATGTTCTGGTCAAGGAAATCCGCCAAAGGGGACAAAGGTGCGAGGAGCACCCAAGAATCCACCACCACCAACCCCTCCTCCTCCTCCTCCTCCTCCTCCACCTCTACATCCAATGTACCCGCAGAGACAGGTGGAAGCCAGCCCAAGACTGACCCCCAACAACCCCAACAAACACCACCTCCACCATCACCAGCGCCCACCTCTCTCTCCTCCTCGTCCTCCTGCTCTACATCCTCTGTGCTCGCAGTGACAACTGGGAACCAGCCAAAGATTGACCCACAGCAACCGCAACAAACACCACCTCCACCACCTCCACCTCCACCTCCTCCTCCTCCACCTCCACCTCCTCCATTGCTCCTTTCTCTCCCATCAAGCCGATCTACCCCTTCGCCTGTTCCAGCATGGAAGGCGCCATCTCCGTCTGCGGCGAGCATGCCGGCCGAGGCACCGACTTCTTCGCTTGCCACGTCAGCAGCTTCTCAGGGAGAGCCTTCGACTCATCGTGCCACGTCAGCATCGGACGGTCCAGCTCAGCAGATCCTCGCCAAGCTGAAGGAGAAGGTGTCATCAAGGCCATCACCTCCTCCTCCCCGTCATCCCTCTCTGCGACTGCAGATCGACCAAGCAGCATTGCCTTCGCAGTCCACATCTGGATCCTCGTCGCCATCGCCATCGCCATCGCCATCCCCTTCGAAGCAGAAGATGAAGCTGCCCTGGTCGGCTTCGTCCTCTCCAGTGCCAGGCTCCACGTCAGCAGCACCGTCATCAGGCGATGATGACATGGCCAGAGGTGGCGGATCAACCTCTACTCCTCCTCCTCCCCCTCCCCCGCCTCCTTCTCCTCTCCGTGCTTTTCCTCCTTCTCCACGTCGCTATACCTCCACCATGGCCGCTCAGGCGTCGGAGGAAACCGCCCTACCGTCATCCTCAAGCCAAGCCGAAGCCCTGTCGTCAATGCTGATGATGGCGTCGCAAAGCATGTCAGAAGAGAAACCACCACGCAGGCAAAGCAGTCAATCTCTGCCGCCGCCATCGCCACTTGCTTCACAGTACTACCCTCAGCCGCAATCGACGGCTCACGGATCGTCATCGTCTCCCTCTGCATCATCCCCATCATCGCCATCGCCGACTTCGCTTCGGCGATCCAGTTCTGGAAAGGTCCCATTGCTTAGGACAGCGACCTTCAGCAGCACGACCAAATCTCTCTCTATCTCAGAGATCCCTTCCTCCTCTTCGCCCAAATCACCCAGAACGCCAAGATCACCCACAACTGCCATGCCAATGGCGACGGCGATGGCGTCGAACGTGCAGCAGGAGTCCGCTGAGCTAGCGGGAACGAGGAGGAAGACGGACCCCTGTGTCTTGACTCCTCGTGGGCCATTCCTAAGGTCATCGCCATCGCCATCGCCATCGCCATCGTCATCATTGGCCTCACCATCGTCGCCATCCGGTCCATCGCCGCCGTCCACTAAACTCGCAGAAGAAATGAAGATCAAAACGTCACTGCCAACAACACCACGAGGGCAGCCTCAAGCCTCCTTACTCAGACAAGATCATTCTTCTTCTTCTTCTTCTTCTTCTTCTTCTTCTTCTTCTTTGTGGTCTTCTTCTTTTACAACGAGTACTAGTGCTATGACTACTACGGCTACTGCCGCTGCTGGCGGTGTTTCGTCTTCTGGAGCAGTGCCGAGTTTTGAACCTCCATTGAGGCTGTGGAGGAAGAGGTTATCAGCACCTGCGTTCAACCTTGGCAAAGCAGCTTTGGCTATGGCGGCAGGTGCTTCTTCACCATCGTCGTCTTCACAGGAACGACCGGTAGCTCGTCACCGGTCCATCACTCCCGACTCCGCCCTGGAGGAGGTGCTGAAGAGGGCATCCATGGTGGGGCCCATCCACGGATTGCGACGGAAGTCGGCGACAGGAGTGGCGTTGGCCATTGGATCATCATCGCTCTTGCAGGACAATTCGCCGGTGGAAAATGCGGCGGCAGTTTGCGCGGCGGCGGTGGCGGCCGCCGCCACTGTGGCAGCGGGGGCAGCGGGAAATATATCGCCCATAGCTCCACCGAGATCCCGCCGAGGCTCATTTCTCAATCCCTTGCCGCCATCGCCTCTCGGCACTGCTGTCGCGGGATCCCAACCGGCTGCTACGTCGCCCAACGAGGTGAGTGAATCGCCAAATGCATCATATTCCCCTCATACTTCACCTCTACCTTCTTAATTTGTCACCAACTCTCTCTCTCTCTCTCTCTCTCTCTCTCTCTCTCTCTCTCTCTCTCTCTCTCTCTCTCTCTCTCTCTCTCTCTCTCTCTCTGTGTGCGTGTGTGTGTGTGTGTGGTGTGTGTGTGTGTGTATGTGTGTTTATTACTATATGTGAGCGTCATCACTTGTCACCGACTTTTTTTTTTTTTTTTGAAGTTATATTCTTCTCTCAATTTCACCTCACACTACCTACCGACTTTTCTAATATATATATATTTTTTGTGTGTGTGTCAGCGATCGGGATGTAAAAAAAAAAAACAAAAAAAAAAAAAGAAAAAAAAGAAAAGGCAATCCATCATTGAAATATGAATGCTCTTCTTTTTTTTTTTTTCATTGAATGCTTTTCTTTTTTTTTCATTGAATGTTCCGCATCCCAAGTGTTGCAGTTAAAAGAAAAAAAAAGTGTTGCCTTTTCTTTGAGAAAAAAGAACTTTTTTTTTTTTTTTTTCAGATGGACATATATATATATATATATCGTCACAATATATATATATATATAAGGCAGCGGTGCTTTATGTGGGACCAGTCATCCGGGCTTTTTTATTGTTTTGGCATCCTGGTTGGTTGTTTCCCGGCCTTTTGGAACGCGGGGCAGTGCTTGCATGTGGGAATCGTCATCCGGGATTGTTTTTTATACCGGTTCTCCGGGTTCTTTTTTATTTTTTTGCAGACAAGAATGCTTGACATCCTGGTTGGTCTTGTCCCGTCGTTTGGCCTGTGGGCAGGGGCKGTGCTTGCMTGTGGGACTTGTCATCTGGGATCTGTTTTGTTGCCCCCTGTTCTGTATTATTTGGCTGTTCCCTTCCTCTTTTCTTTGCCTCTTTGCCTTTTGGCTGTGTGCAAGTGGGTCTATATGACACAAGGGGGTGGAGGCAGCCGCCGCTCAACCTACATCCACGTGGGCGGCCTTGTACGCAAGAGGTTCTTTTTTTTTTTTTTATACAGAAACAGTAGTTTTATCAGGGCCCAGTGCCCAAGGCAGAAATACAATGTCAAAGAATTGCAGATTCAGGGGTAGCAAGGTCTCCAAACCCTCTTCATGGGGTGGAGCCCCTCCCCTGTAGAAAAACCACTGTCTTCCTAAAGAAAACACTACCAAATCCCCGATACCCACTTTCCTAAAACACCGCAACGAAAATCCTCATTAGGGTTTCAATTAGTTTCTAAAACCAAAGCACTACAAATTTCATAAAGAGCACCACAACAAAATTCCTAATACTCACCATAACCCTAAAGAACACAAAAATTCCTAAACTATACGTTAAAACAGTTTGTATTTGTTGCCTAAAGCGGCAATCGTAATTCCAATACACCATCATATGAAAACACTTTTAGAAAAATTCAGATGAAAATTCGAACTAAGGCCTACCCTAAGAAAGGATTTTTATTTATTTATTTATTTATTTTTTTAACAGGAAAAAAACGAGAAGAAACTCTACTATGAACGGGAAGAGTATCGGTGACAAAACAAATTGAAAGTCCAAAGTCTATTAACCTCATAAGATGAAACAAAATGTCAAGACCACTCGTCTTCAGCAAATCAGCACATGGCTTTCCTTGACAAAGGAGCAAGACGTACGGGAAACCATAATTCCCCTGGCCAAGCGACTCAGCATACAGGAAACCCAATCCGTGCTAATCAAGGAAGCTCACAGCTGTCTCGATGGAAAAACCTCGGTAGTATCTATGTGTTGTTGAGAAATAAAGCTCTATATCTGAGATCAGCCGCGCCACTCGTCTTCAGCAAGTCAGCACATAGTTTCCCTTGGCAAAGGAACAAGACGTACGGGAAACCACAATTTCCCTGCCCAAGCGACTCAGCGTACAGGAAACCCAATCCGCGCTAATCAAGGAAGCTCACAGCTGTCTCGATGGAAAGAAAAAAATTGGCAATATCAATATGTTATTGAAAAATAAAGCTCCATATCTGAGACCAGCAGCGCCAATCGCGCCCTGGTCTTGGTTGCATATAGCGTATAACAGGAGAGATGCACCAGCGCTATCACACACAACGCGCCACACCCACCACCAGCAGGCACTCCTCCTTGGGGCATGCCGGACAAGCTCCACATCCACAACGCATAGACATGCCGACTAGGTATGGTGGCCTTAGCCTGGGCAAAACCCTAGCTCTAGCGCCAGCAACTTCGGGCACTCAACGCTAGGTCACTTAGCGATGCGCCGCTGCTAGTGCCTCCCCCCTGGCGGCGCGTTACGCAGCGCTAACGCACGCTGATTGTATGCAAGAGGTTCTGAACAGGGGGAGTTATAAGAAAGAAGATTAAAAAAAACTGAATTCATTTTTCCCTGTTTTTCTTCCTTTTTTCTTTCTTTTTTTTCGCATTTGCGCTCTGATATTTCTGTGACAATATATATAATTTGGACCATTTCTCGATTTATGTGTGTCATCCTTGCCCAGGGGCCATGCTAATCCTCTCTCTCTGTACCGTTCCAATTTTAACAGATGTCCCTAAAGACAGATGGACAATATATATATATTTTCTCTCACCTCGCATATTTTCACTGGCTTGTGCCATGTCATGGAACATATCTTCTCCTTTCACTACCTCCCTACCACTACTCCCAAGGGTAGACAGGGGACCCCTGCAAGCATAGCGTTCTACCTCTCTTCTGTGAAGGGAGGCTACCTCTCTAGGTAGAGGTTTAGGGTGCAGGGTTGGGGCCGCCGGTGGGGGCCCTAACACAAGGACCGAACATTTGCCAGTAACTGTGCCTCCCTTTTCATCTCCCCCCACCCTCATAGTGTCTTAATTAAAGCCAACACTCTCCCACACACCACACACAACCCACTCACGCGCGCACTCACACCCGTAATGGCTGAAGACCTTACTAATACCAACTGGGAGTTTCCAGCCGACTATCGCAGTTGGTTGGCACCATGCGTGCGACAGGCAGCCATAGGGATTGAACCCACCACCTCCTGAATGCCACTTGCATGCTGTGTGCCACGGGAGGCCATGGGGATTGAACCCACCACCTCCTGAATGCCACTTGCGTGAGAGGCTTCATCTATTGGTGGGGAGCATCACCTGCTGGAAAACGGGTCCAGCGTCCCATATACGGACTGAATTAGAATACATCCGAAAAACAGTGTGGGAGGTTCCTGCCAGCATTCATCACCCTGGAATCCAGGGGATTGACTGAGCAGGACAGAAGAAAGAAAACGGGGGGCGAACCTTTTCGCCCTGAACCGGGCGCCAGATACCTGCTGATACACACTAGTTCCTCCCTCCCCCTATCTTTGACTTTATCTGCTGAATAGTGTGGATGTATCTGTTGGAAGACAGGAAAATCCTGGGGATTGACTGAGTATATTACTTCTAAGCGTACAAGGGCTACTGCCTTCCGGAGATGAATATACCAACACACACTCAGCTTATGAGCATCTGATGAATTTGGAGGGGCCTTCGACAAGCAACACCGGGGGGACACCGGCGAGGCTTATCTCAGGCTCATCTGGTCCAGCCTGGTCCAGTCCTGTTGCAATCTTGTCATGATCATGTCTTGTCACCCTCTTGCATCTGAGTCATGTGAGAACTTCCATCAGGGCCAGGGGATGAGGGGGGAACGGATCCGGGAAATCAGATGGGGGCCTCATCGGGAAGGTTGGATCAATGTGGGTCCAGTCATTGAAGAGGAGTCTATAATCCCTCAGGATTTCTTTCTCTGTTTCTTTCTCTGACGCAGTGCCCCGATCCCCTGTCCACTCAATCCAAGCCATCCATCCACCCCGTTGCCCGCCCAACCATTCCATACAGAACTCCGTAATTGCCCTCTCTAAATCCCGGTCTGTCTGAAAAATGTCTAACTGCAGCTTAAGGTCGCTCCACCTATGTGTCAATTCCAATTGCACTAGTTCCTTTATCTGCCCTGTCATGTCAGTTCAGGGCCCTCGATCTTAACTCCCTCTAAGACAAGAAGGCAGTGCTGCCACCAAAGTGCCCAGAGGACCGACCGTAAACAGGTTACTCACATAGGAGGGGGCACTTTCCATCGCGGATGATGTCCAGCCAGTATGGCTGACCAAGACCATGGCCAGGGAAAGTCGGTGTCACTTTCCTCCAAATGCGGTCCCACCATCGCCACGTCAGCACTGCCACTGGGCATTGCATAAAGATGTGTTCGATAGTTTCGTTCCTTTTTTGCATTGGGAATGCGACCAAGCATCGGTGCCACCATGGATGTGCTTTCCCCTTTTGCTCCAAGTGTGTGTGGTCGATCAGCCAAGCATTTGTCGGCAAGCAACGATGGGCAATCTGCCATCGCGAGATTTTTGTTGGCCTGGTTTTCGTTCCATTAAACCACTTAATGGGTGTGAGAAGAGATCGATCCACATTCAGGTGTCGGGCCCATCTATCATTGATTCGTTCCCTTAGTATTCTCTTCGGACTAAGCATCCTATACATGGATCTAATAGACATAGAGTTTAGGTGTATTTTTTTACCCGTTGCCGCTGCTGCCCCTCGGGCCGTCTGCCATTTCCATTCCTCGGGGTCAATAGCCAGTTCTTGTATCGCCGTTCGGGGTCGAAAAACCTTGAAATCCTGATCCTCCTGCAACACTCGTACTCAAAAGACATCGGCTTTCTCCATCCATTCAAAGGGATTGAGCTAGGCCGCTTTTTTTTTTTCCCTCTTTTTTGTGTAATCTCTATCCTAAATATTGCAGGGCAACCAAAAAAAAAAAAAAAAAACTTTTCTCCTATTCTCAGCCTTTTAGGCCTCGCTCCATTACTCACCACATGCATAAAAGACAAAAAAATATGGCAGTGTATCTTTCTCATTTTGTACGTTTGGCGAGTAGTGGAGCGAGGCCCTTTAGCTGTAGCTCAGTTGGTAAGGCACGCAAGTGGCATTCAGGAGGTCTTGGGTTAAATTCCCATTCACCTCATGTACCTTCCTGGGCAAGCTTGGCGCCCGCCACTCTAGAAATATGCCGTTGGTCCCCCCGAGTGGCATTGAGCAGAAACTGCTGATGTTCATAGGGGGAGGGGACCGGAGGGGAGACACAGTGACTGGCCCATCGAAGAAGCTCGGTCCTGATGCTACCGGCTGACCCTTGGTCGGTATCGCCCACCTGCTGTAGCAGGTATGGCACCTGCTGGTGGGTGCAACTCCCGCATGTTCCCTCATTGGAGGCTTGAGCGCGGATGTGGCTGCTACGGGGTTCCCCGTAATACTGTAATGACAATAAAAAAGGCCTGAAAGACCGTCCTGTCCAGATTCGACAGGTAATTGAATTGGTTGGGCTTAAAGAATAAGCCTTTATTCGAATCTGGCAGGGCATGAAGTATTGCGAGGGACTCCATCCCCACTTTCCAAAAATCCTTGGCACCCCCCCCTTTTTTCGCACTTCCAGGCCCACTCCCACTCCGATCAGGAAGTCACGCAGGGCATGAGGTTGGTATCGGAGCCGACACGTGGCGAGCTCACGGATTGACAAGCGGGCAGCCCCCTTAGTTAAAGCGATCTAGCAAACCGAGGGCGACCTGGGCAAAGGAACGCGCCAAGACGCGACCTGATATTGACCCGAAGTTGGTCGGCGGGTCGGCTGGCCGCCAACATGAATGCCAATCAAGTGCAAAACGCTAATGTACAGCTAGGCCGGGCACCCATTCCCGCGCCACCAATTCGAGCTCTCGCACCTGTGGCTCCACCTGATTTGTATTTTTTTGACCCGCACATCACCTAGACGGAGCATGGCTGGCCACACTGTGTGGTCAACAATGCGACAATGATGAACCTCGAATCAACATCCTCGCTAGGTTGGGAGGGGATGCGGACCACTGGTTCAGCACTTACGTTTGGGTGGATCTCCTGAACTTCGAGCGAGATTCTTAAACTGATTCAACTATATCCATCCAGAACAGGCCATTTTTTATGATCAAGGATCGGGTTCAGCAACCACTCGAATTTGTTACTGAATATCGGAATAGGTTCTATAAAATGTTCGTCAAAACACAGAGACGGGAGAGGTCGGGAGAGATCTATTCATCGACGGGCTTCGTAGACGAACAATGAGGGTGAAATTGCGAAAGCAGTTCTCCCTGATCAATCATACCCTGCAACAAATCATGTCTATTGCGGAGGAAATGGAATTAAAATTTGCCGCCAGTTTCCTAGAAGAAGAGGATTACCCCAGGGAAGGGGATTCCTGAGAACTGGCCAGAGCGAAGGCCGAGCTAGCTGCACTCCAAAATAAATTTGAAAACATGGGTTTCGTCTCATGTCCTGTCACCTATCTAGAACAAATTGCAACCAAGAGGCCAGTGCCAGACACAGCTACGGGATTGCCTGTACCTGTTATGGTTGCCTCTGCACCTCCCCCGGACTCCTCGACAAGGCCGAATGAATCAAATGCCATACTGGAACTAACCCGAACATTAGTTAGCTTGATGGAGGAAAGTAAGAAGGAACAACGTGAGCACAATGCCATGATAAAATCGTTAATAAGGTCGATGCGCCCCATCGTCGTCAGAGTCGCACAAGTGGCGCAAGGAATCGCCC